GATGTGTACTGCTAAGTGCCATACTAGGTTGAAACAGTTGCTCAGTGCCTCCAGGTTTTCAATAGTAGTCTAACATTGATCTATTCATGATATCAATCTAAACTCAGTAATCTGCAAAACCTTATAATTAATCATTGTAGGATAATATTTAGACTGATAATTAGTTGATTTTCAGTTAAATAATAAAGGTCAACAGTTTTAATACTTTAATGACTTAAGTATGTATTCTCTGAAAGTTGGTATTCTTACCAAATTTTCTACTCAATATTGGTATATTGAATTATGTCATCAATTAAGAAAAATCAAAAAAAATTATTGATTGATGAAGAGATTTTGGTGTTGTTTAGTTCTTCAAATTATATGATTTCATAATGTAGCATTCATTGTCGTTCTGAACATCACCAGAAGCGCCTACTTTATGTATATGTGAGATTCTTAGTTGTTACATAGACGTTCAATCAGTTTGTTCTGAAGAATTTGTTTGAAAATGATTGATTTTGTTGGGGTTTTTTGTTTCTATATTATTCTATACATTCAAGTTGACTGACTAGTTTGCTCGTTTAACTTATGATCATGTAGTTGAGTGATATTTTTGGTATTGATTTATTAATTGAATTTGTCTTGATATGTAAACTGATTGACAACTAATCTGAATGACATACTTCTGGAAATTTTGCTGATATTGTTAGAAGTCTCACGATTAGCAAAAGATTAGAACTATAGTAACTATGTATTTACGATTGTCGTTTCAACCTGAACGAAGACATGAGGGTTGAAACTTTAGGTAGGAGCATGATGGATTTCTTTCAAAAGAACTCCTTTTATTACAATATCTTACCTACCTTTTGACACTGAAATGGCTTGTGAGAACAGGTATATGATATGTCTCGACTCTCCTCAGCTTGTCGGCATAAAATTAATTAAGGTCAAAGAAATGATAATGGATCGCGGGATTGCGGTTGAATGATCTCACGAGGCGAGATCGTGAATGTGCACTGCTAAGGAGTCCCACAATAGGACGAAACGGCCCTCCAGTACTTACAGGTTTACCATGGTGGTCTAGCTTCAATTGGCTCATGATCTCAACTACTGAAAGTACTATAATATCTACAAAAACGCTTCTGAAATGTGGATATTGTCTGGAAAGATAGTTAAAATCTTTACAACTGAACTATTGAACTCAGAGAACGCAAAACTTCGAAAATTTTCTTATCCAGTTATGTCACTATGTAATCATATCGAGAAATCTAATCAATCGCTTAACTGTTGCACTTAAATACCTCCGTATAATTGGAAACAAAAACATGTGCTTGTTATTATAAAATTGTCATTCCTATCTATATGCAGTCGTACACAGCCCCCCCCACACACACATTAACCGAGAAACAAGGAGTAATACATATTTTTAAGAAAATTATCAATTAACCTTAAGTTTAATTAAAAATTAAGTTCACTTTCGTAAACATAAATCTGCACTATCATCAACCAATTGTAAAGTTGAAGTGAAATATTGTCATAAAAGATTTTTTTATTGACTAGTAACAAGCGAGTGTGTATGTGTATGTGTGTGTGGAGGGGGTGTCTAAGGAATGTAATTGTTTGTTTGTTTGTTTGCATAACCATGATTGTTTGCTTATTGGATGGTTAGTTACTAAGTAGGTCGGTAAGTTAATTTGTTAGTTAGTTAGTTAGTAGTAACTCTTTGTAGTACACTATTTCAAACAGGTAAAAAGCTTTTAATCAATCAATGATAGATATATTCTCAAGGACTCATATTACTTATCAATAGTTACCATACACTTTTTTTGCATTATTATCTGGCAACAATAGTTGTGTGTAAAAAGTGGCATAAATTTCTTACTGTATGACAAGCTCAAGTAGTAATTCAGTTTTATTTACGTTTCTGTAAGTTATATTCAGTCGGTTATTGATTTTATTATTATTATCATTATTATTATCATTATTATTATTAGTAGTAGTAGTAATAGTAGTATTAGCACTATTATTATTCGCTTTAGCATAAAATAACGTAGTCTAAAAGGAGATGGGTATGTGAATGATCTTACACCTTGTTCGTACTACGTCAGGCAAGTTGGTTTGAGAACAAGATCTGTGGTTGATATCAAATTTAGTGGTATGTGACAATAGTAAATTGCTTCACTGATATAACTGGCATTTGTAATAACGATGCTGTCTGCTTACAATGGAAAGATTGAGTTTATGAAAATTGGCTTTAGAAAATAGCGTGTATCACTTTTCTCTATGGGTTTCTATGACTGAGTGATAGAGTCTTTAATATACAAAAGCAATACATTATGACCTACTAACTAAAATGCTGAGTATTACCGGGCCAGATCAGTTGTCCATTTGGCCTAATGTTCACTATTTCAAGTTGCCAAGAAGAATACGAATCTTACTTAACTTTCAGGTGCACCTCATTACGTCCTTCAACATCATCTCCATAACTAACTGATAAAAACAGCATGAACAAATCGTAATGTAAACTAAAACATTGTGAGCGTGTAGTGCCGACAAGTTTGGATGACAAAAGATAATACAGCTGTCCACAGACTATCGATGTTCAATGGTAGTTTTTTAGTATACAATATAAACTAACTTTATAGTGCAGTCAGTAGCATTAACTACATATTAGAGAACAATAACTAGAGTGTATGCGTCGTCCTCTTGACAATTCACCAGCTTTATTTCAGTATATATTGAAACTTCTTCCAAATTAGGTTTATGTATTTAGAATATTAAAATCATTACAGATTCCATTCGTTGGAACAGTGTGTATTTATCAACTTAATATTTTAAATAATCTTTTACATAAGGGAACATAATTTTATCACCAAGCAGTTAATGAAAACCTTATATATATGATTTATTTAATCAGTTCTCAGTGTTAACTGTTACAGTTTTATTCTTACGAAACTTGATAAATTAGTTGTGTGGGGATTTGTAGAGATTGTAGTATTTTCACAATTAAATTCACTAGTCGTTCCAAGCTAGGCCAACAATGAAAACCTGAAAGCACTGGACAACTGTTTCGTCCTAATATGAGACTTCTCAGTAGTGCGCGTCCACGATCCCGCATGTGTGACTTGAACCCAGGAACTTGTGTCTTTCTCACGAGAGCTTATTTGTACATGGTAAATTGTAGATTTATGTTGTTTATAAGGGTTTGTAATATCACGTAATAGATGTTATGGTTTACAACCCATTAGCCTGTTTGGGATTGTGTGCATCCTCAAGGAACAGCTTCATTCTTTCCATATGATCAAAGTTTACACTAAATATTAATAGTTGCCAACAGTGAAATCCAGAACGCTAGTTTCGAAACATTGCAATATAAAATCTTATATGAGGGTAGTGATCGATCACTTCCTGTCTTTAACATCAACACCGAAAAAATCAAATCCCATAAAACAAAAACTCATACCTGTTGAAAAAGTCAGTGAGTATCCGGATGTTGTAATTCAATGGATAATACGTTAAACGTCTGAAGTAAAATGTATTCGCTTCAAATATCAAATTGAACGTCGACACCGTGTTTTAAGTACATCCCATTGATGAATTCCAAATAGGACGAAATGTGTATTCTAGATATCACTGTGAAATATGTTAACATTTCTAACCAACTGATCACTGTGAGGTGAACAATATCGTACTTATCAAACCCTTCAGTGTTATTGTCTTGAACTGTGAAACTAATTGATTCAACTCCAAATCTTACAGGGAATACCAAGACCGAAGCAACGCTTGTCTGAAAAGTATTATTCGTCATGTAATCTAGGTCTAAGGTTTACTGTTGATTAGCTATAACCAATAAACAAATTAACATTTCTAATATAAAATACCCATTTCTTCCATAATCAATTATTTCCCTACATTTCTGTCAATAAACACTGCAATATTGTGTCTTTAATCATTCAACTTCTTTCTTCTCACCCACTTTTTAATGACTTTATCCAACTGAATGTATTTTCTTTTTCAAATCCCTTGCTAAGGATAAACTTTCCAATGCTGTTTGTTGATTGTATGATTTTAGTAACGTTCATAATTTATGTAACTGCCTCTTATAGCAGCTTGAGTTATAAATTCATAGTACTATTTATGTCAATCTGAAATTTTTGATCATTCGACTTAGAGAGGTACATATATAATGAGAGTAATTAAGTATCAATTTAACAAGTCATGAATTCGATTGATCTCTCAGCAAACAATTATTTTGTTTTACTCAAGCAAATAAAATCCATTCTATTAAAACTTGTGATTACATCTCAGTCTTGCAGGACGTCAGTCGCGGGCCGGATAGCTCACTGGTAACGTCTCTGACAGTGAGGCTGGGTGACACGGGGTCGAATCCGCCAGGGAGCACCAGTTCCCTCAAGAATACAGGTACACCTTGCTGACGAGTGCCAGTTAGCACGAAACCTGGATTCAAGGTTTCCTCTCGACTACCTCCAACTACCATTTAAACTTGATATATCCCTAGCAGTGGGATGTACAATGACTATTTCGTTGATATAGAACTTATTAGATGGATGTACTTTTATCTTACTGTTGATATTATTACTGAATCCAGTCAGCCAGTAACGTGTTTAACAATTATGTAGTTTTATATATTAACGGATTTGAACTATCCTATTGATGATAATAAAGACTATATTACAGCACAGTCTAATAACACTGGGTATAAAGCGTCGATATATGAAAAGATAAACACTTAGTTCATGTCTCAATATAAACATCGACGCTTGGATGCAGATATAATCAACTGACGGCTTCTAACCAGGACAAATCTAATTTCGACTATCCAATCTTGATCAAAACATATTACTTAATGTAAAATTTCAGTATCAAAGTTGGACATGGGGTAAAAAGTGTATAATTTAAACAATTTACCCTGAAGAAGTAACTAAATGATAATATCCAAGCGATACACTCAGAATATATATATATATATATATATATATATATATATATATAGGGATACAGTGGACAGCTAGGTTGCAACTGGACGATCTAAACTTCGCAGATGATCTGGTCCTTTTATCTCACACGCAACAACCAATGCACGGGAAGACGACTAGTGTAGCAGCAGCCTCAGCAGCAGTAGGTCTCAATATACACAAAGCGAAAAGCAAGATTCTCCGATACGACACAGCATGCACCAATCCAGTAACAATTGACGGAGAATCTTTTGAGGATGTAAAAACCTTTACATATTTGGGCAGCATCATTGATGAACACGGTGGATCTGATGCAGATGTGAAGGCGCGGATCGGCAAAGCAATAGCAGCATATCTACAAGTGAAGGACATCTGGAATTCATAACAACTGTCAACCAACACCAAAGTCGAAATTTTGAATACAATTGTCAAGACAGTTCTACTGTATGAAGCGGAAACCTTAGGAACTATGAAAGTCATCATCCAAAATTTACAGCTGTCTACACAAAATACTTTGGATCCGTTGACCAGACACTATCAGCAACAACCTTCTTTGGGAGAGAACAAACTAGATCTCAGAGGAGGAAGAAATCAGAAAGAAGCGCTGAAAGTGGATAGGACACAAATTGAGGAAAGCACCTAACTGCATCACAAAGCAAGTACTCACTTGGATTCGTCAAGTCCGAAGGAAAAGTGGAAGACCAAAGAACACATTAAACCGAGAAACGGAGACATATATGAGAAGAATGAACAAGAATTGTATAGAACTAGAAAGGAATACCCAGAAAAGAGTGGGTTGGAGAATCCTGCTCGGTGGCCTATGCTCCATTGGGGGTAACAGGCGTAAGGAATATATATATATATATATATATATATATATATATATATATATATATATATATATAGGAATTGATGAATTACAGTCTAGAATATTAACCACAGCAATTTAGAAAATCCTTTCCAAGTAAATTAAACCTGTTCTTTCAGTTATTTCAAGTCTAAATTTTTCAGATCCATTTCACACACACACATGCACAACAAAATCTTAATCTGAATTTTATCAATCTGATTTTCAGTTGAATATCACTAGTTACTAAGTCATCTATTATGCAACAGAATTTGTAAACTCGGTTATTATTATAAAAAGAATACTATTACCGTAAATATATTATTCTTTCTTAAGAAATATCTTAGTAATCTTATGTAGTAATAATAATAATAATAATACCAACTCACAAGTATATAGATATGTATATGCATACACTTATATGCATACATTCACGCACACGCACATCTGCACACATGCACACACGCACATACAAGCACATAGAAACCCGAAAACTATGTACAATAGCACATATTTTACATCATGATAATAAACTTTGAGTTCCATTTCATCATTCCAAAAACTTTTATAATTTCATCAATTTAATAAAAAAATAAGAAAAATAATAATAAACGATAATTTTATATATTGAATATTTACTGAAAGTACATATCATGCATTTCATATGACAATCACTTTATATCAAAGATAAGTAATCTATATATATATATATATATGTATATATCCTTACAAATGTAGGATCAACTTATCATTTATTTGAATCATGATTAGTGTATTATTCATATTAAATGAGATATTTTTTTCTTCTTCTTTTTCACTTTGAATGAATGAATTAGTGCTTTTGGAATGCTTTAATTTAATACACACATTGAAAGTACCGATGATGATGATGATGATGATGATGATGATGATGATGATGATGATGATGATGATGATGATGATGATGATGATGATGATGATGATGATGATGATGATGATGATGATGATGATGATGATGATGATGATGATGATGATGATGATGATGATGATGATGATGATGATGATGATGATGATGATGATGATGATGATGATGATGATGATGATGATGATGATGATGATGATGATGATGATGATGATGATGATGATGATGATGATGATGATGATGATGATGATGATGATGATGATGATGATGATGATGATGATGATGATGATGATGATGATGATGATGATGATGATGATGATGATGATGATGATGATGATGATGATGATGATGATGATGATGATGATGATGATGATGATGATGATGATGATGATGATGATGATGATGATGATGATGATGATGATGATGATGATGATGATGATGATGATGATGATGATGATGATGATGATGATGATGATGATGATGATGATGATGATGATGATGATGATGATGATGATGATGATGATGATGATGATGATGATGATGATGATGATGATGATGATGATGATGATGATGATGATGATGATGATGATGATGATGATGATGATGATGATGATGATGATGATGATGATGATGATGATGATGATGATGATGATGATGATGATGATGATGATGATGATGATGATGATGATGATGATGATGATGATGATGATGATGATGATGATGATGATGATGATGATGATGATGATGATGATGATGATGATGATGATGATGATGATTTACGACTGAAACCTTTCTATTAAAGTTAGTCGAATTTATGAGCTGATTTAAGCTAGACTATTGTTAGAAACCTGAAAGTATGAAATGGCTATTTTCGTCCTAGTACGGAACTCTTCAACAATACAGATTTATGATTTATCATACGGGACTCAAACTTAAAACTTTTAGCTTAGTGTGCGAACATCGATATTCAATCGATTCATAATCTTGTGCATGCTTTCATTTGTTATCTGATGTGGATAACTGTCTGATATCTAAAACAGAATGAACTCTACTAGTCATGGCTTCTCATTAGTACTCGAGGAAATCTGTCATGAAACCAGTCACTAGTGAGCATATGTTGATTACTATTATTAGAATGGAGGTTTGTGGAGATTGTAGAAATTTTAATAATTGAATTTATGAGTCACTTTAATCTAGTACAGTTTATCGGTAATAATAATAATAATGCATTAAACACTGACAAATTCAAATTGATTTAGGTGCACTTGGATGCATAGATTATAATATTGTAAAATTACGTTACTTATCGATCTCAACTTTTTGTGTGCAATACACTTGAGTTGAATTTGTACTTTAAGGTAACTATAGAAGTTTTATTGTACGAGGTTTTTGTGAAAATTATTATCAGAAAACTATAAAAAGCTTTGAAGCGATAGATAGATATTTCATCTTACCATTCGATTTTCAGTAGTCAACACACAAGACCGTACCTAAGATCAAACCTAGGACATGCAGGTTTCATGTTGAACAACTACATGTTTAACCCCAGTTAATTAGTAATTTCACTGAGCCATCTTCCAAAACGTAAGTTGGTGGTTAGAGATAATCAACAGGAAACCATGGATTTAAATTACGTTATTCAACATAATATACCTGTAATCTTAGGCCATTGATACTATTTGACAGATTGATTCCGGTGTCACCCAATTTCAAAGTCAGAAACGTTAATACTGAGCTCTAAAGCGAAACACATGACATCGGTCACCACTTAATGATTTATATCAGAAGGGTATTTGTGCATAATATACTAATTTCAATGGTTGAGATCATGAGTCAATTGAAGCTAGACCACTATGGAAAACCTGGAAGCCCTGGACAGCCGTCTTTTTCCTATCAAGGGACTCCTCAGCAGTGCACCACCACGATCACGCCTCATGGATACGCACTGCTGAGGAGCCCCACAGTAGGACGAGACGACTGTTCAGTACTTCCAGGTCTTTCAAGCTGGTCTAGCGTCACCTGACACATGATCTCGACCATTGAAATTACTTAATGATTTATCGATTATAAAAACGTCTAAAATGTTGGTAAATTAATATTTCTACTATATCTGTTAGTAAACATATAATTTGGAATTGAATATTTATGTAAAAACTATGATCTGAAAACAATGGATTAGTCATTATATCCTATCATATGATTCTTGTAATTAAATAATAGAGCGAGAGATGAATTATTTTTCCCTTTAAGTGTACTTAGTGAAAGGATTTTGTATTTTTATTATTATTAAAGTCATTTTTAATGACATTTATATAAAGATGATGGCGAGACTCTAATTTATGGACGACCTTTGAACGAATCTTAAGTGACTTTGAGAAATAATAGACAATCAGCAAATAGTCAGTATAGAGCAAAAATATATTACACAAAACCAAAGAAATAAAGTGGATACACTTCTTAGACGTGGTTCAAATACTTGTCAAGGTTAGAAAGAAGTGCAGAGGCTCTGAAACCGTAATTCGTGCAATAGAGGAAATCATCCATACGGCTACAGAATAGTCGGCATCTGGAGGCATGACAAAGTTTCAAAAACTCTTTCAGCCTCGATCGCATAGCTTCAATATTGTTTATGTGAATCCCGGTTGTTGAGTGCACAGAATGCTACCTGTGGATAACGACACGATGCACATAACCAACCGATGTAGGAGTCTGTACGCTCACCAAACAACCGTATATATTGTAGTACGTGGCTGCAGCCAGTGTTAATGATGCTTTTATTATCCAGTTCGCGATAATTGTCGTAATTTGTCATATTTAGGATTTATATATGGGGTTTTCATCACGAATTGACGTCAACTATAATGCCAGAAATTTATTTAGCCAAATGGATGAAAGGCTTTCGCGTTAAAATCCGAGATCTATTATCTTATACTTGATTGATTCGTCCACAAATTATAGTCTCGCCGTTTTATTTATTACAGCCGCTCACTTATCACCTTTTGTACGAAATTCCCTGTGGACCGACCGTACGTTAGTAATAAGCACTGAAGTTGTTGCCGTAACCTTGAAATCTCTAGACCTCTTCTGATTGGCTCGTCCATAAATTAGAGTCTCACCGCTTTTACTTATAGGTGTTCATAATTAAACACTTGGGCAATATGTACAAATGGACTATAAATAATTTCATAGTCAAAACAAGATCTATATTGATTAGTAAAACAAGAACCAATAACTATTGTTCAATAAACTACAATGTTTTAAGAAATAATCAGATAACAAGGCAATAGAAGTTTCATAAGGATTTTCTTATAAATAATCTAGTTCATCTGTCTTCAATTTTATATTTGATGAGTAGCAAAATATACTTTTTTCCCATTGTTGATCAATTCTGTTGCCTTGCTTAATCATCCATTCACCTGATTAGTCACAACATAACTCTTCAATTTTGATTACATGAATCTATGGATCTTGATGTAAATGATAAGGAAAGACTAGATAGATGAACATTCATTTGATATCACCACTTTATGTCAGTCCACTTGATATATGTATATTGGCTTGGTATACATTAATTAACCATTCAAATACGAGTGAATAATGAAATTATTAATGAGTTAGTAATTTATTGTGTCAGGTCAGACTGTTAATCGATTGAAGGGAGTCAGGAAAAGATCATGAATTTGGATCTCATACTATTTATTACCTGTAAATTATTCGTAAACTTAACATTGAGGGAACTGATAATCTCGATAGCATTCGAAACCGTATCACCTATCTTAAACTAACGGTCATACAACAACTTAATCAGTTGAATCCGATCAGTACTAAACAGATCAGACAAACATACATGATCACTTTCCAATCAAACAGTACCGTAAAGTGACTTGTAAAAAAAAAGATACACATCACAAATAATAGAAACAACCCTGAAACAGTAAAAAAATATTTAGTTGTGTAGCATTAGTTGCTAATGTTAAGCCCATATATTATCAAATTAAAATCAGATAACGGGCCACTAAAATTGAATTCCAATTTTTTTTTCTATGTTCAATCATTGATTTCTGTTGTTGTTTGTTTAAGTATACAAATGCACTTTGAA